AAATGGGCAAAGGATATGAACAGACACTTTACAAAAGAAGACATATACGAAGCCAACAATCATATGAAAAAATGCTCATCGTCACTGGTCATCAGAGAGATGCAAATCAAAACCACATTGAGATACCATCTCAAGCCAGTTAGAATGGTGATCATTAAAAAATCTGGAGACAACAGATGCTGGAGAGGATGTGGAGAAAAAGGAACACTTTTACACTGTTGGTGGAAGTGTAAATTAGTTCAATCATTGTGGAAGACAGTGTGGCGATTCCTCAAGGCCTTAGAAATAGAAATTCCATTTGACCCAGCAATCCCATTACTGGGTATATATCCAAAGGACTATAAATCGTTCTACTACAAGGACACATGTACACGAATGTTTATTGCAGCACTGTTTACAATAGCAAAGACCTGGAATCAACCCAGATGCCCACTGATGATAGACTGGATTGGGAAAATGGGGCACATATACACCATGGAATATTATGCAGCAATCAGAAATGATGAGTTTGTGTCGTTTGTAGGGACATGGATGAATCTGGAGAACATCATCCTCAGCAAACTGACAAGAACAGAAAACGAAACACCGCATATTCTCACTCATAGGCGGGTGATGAAAAATGAGAACACATGGACACAGGGAGGGGAGTACTAAACACTGGGGTCTATTGAGGGGAAAAGGGGAGGTCCAGTGGGCGGGGGAGCTGGGGAGGGATAGCCTGGGGAGAAATGCCAAATGTGGGTGAAGGGGAGAAAGGAAGCAAAACACACTGCCATGTGTGTACCTATGCAACTGTCTTGCATGTTCTGCACATGTACCCTAAAACCTAAAATGCAATAAAAAATTAAAAAAAAAAAAAAAAAAAAAAGAGGTTGCCAGCATATGACAAGAGTCAGTAACCTAATACATTGAGTACACTTTGTGTTCAAATTCATAGGAAAGACTGTTCTTAATAACACTTAGGGAAGTGAAATTGTTAAAATCCCCTCTAGGCATTACAGATGCTTATACCTATCCACTGAGTTGATAGAGGTGGGAAGTGTTCTGTGCCAGAATGTTCCTATTTAGATGGCACTTTCAAATGACAGCTTATTATTTATGTGTACCACTTATTCAATGCTATGGCATATATAGTGGAAAACTTAAGTCCTATTTGAAACATCTAGTCTTTCTAGACATTTAAACGTACACAACGTATGTGTACTTCTGGCATTGTAGAGGGCTAAAGTAACCAAAGTACAGGGCTAATGTAACATCCTTTGAGCATTTTCTGTTATTTCATAGGACTGGTTGCATTTTGGGAATGGAATTTTTGAAACTGATGATGTCTTAAAGTGTATGCTGACTATTCACTGGCTGGTAGTGGGCAGGGGGAGGAGGAAGTATGCAGAGAGAAGGATTCTGTGCCCTTGAGTCAGATTACTTCAGATTGTCTAGCCATTGTTCTATATGTGCATCTCAGTTAATACTGCTGTGTATTAAAGGATAAACAAGTCCCTGATGCTCAAACTATACTAAAAGTAGAGGTAGTAAAATAATCCATTTTTTAGTTTTTAGGAAGGACTATGCTCTGGGAATTACCTTTGTTAACTGACCTCTTGGAACTAGACATAGTCCTCACTTAGTCACTGGAATGGTAGAAGAGGAAGAAGAAGGGGTAGAGGGAAGGGCTCTTTGCCAGAATTTCCATATTTAGAAGATGGTTTGAGATGATAACCATAGGTCTATATGTACATTTTTTGGTAAAGTACATGTGTTTATTGTGGACAGAGTTCATTATTTTGCAACACCTAACCTTTACAGACGTCTTGATGTGACAACATATGATAAAAAGCAGAGCTACCCCATAACTATATATGTCTACTATGTACCTACAAAATTATTTTAAAACTAGGGCTAGTGAATTTGCCAGTTTATGAATAGGTTTTTGTTATAACTGATAGAAAAGATGAAAGTTGGACATGGAATTGTTAAACCACCTCTGAGCAATGTATATATCAGCATTTGTTCATTAGAGGGGAACAGAGGGGTAGAAGTATAAAGAGATAGATGTATGCAGATGTATTCATATTTATATTTTGACAATAGCCACTAATGCAAGTTAGTTTCTCTTGGCTGTACTATGGGAATACACTAAGTAATTCAATGGAAACGTATCTTCTTGGTAATATTTTAGTGGCAAAGATCCCATAATAAATTCTCTCAGAAACATTATACTTGGGATACTCTGTTACTTTATGTTCCATTTTAAATTGAGCATTAAGGCAATACAGTCTTTCATTGGGAACTCTGCCAATACTTCTACCTAGAGGACTGTTGCCATTCTAGTCTTCTACGAAATTTTTGTCCCAAGACAGGTGAGATTATATTTTCTTCAAACAGATTGAGTTGGTGTAGGGTGTTCTTGGTTATCAAAATACTCATACAGCTTTGAGACTTTCAATTGGTAAATATTCATAATGTGTGATAAAACATAATACATACTATATGATATCAAACCCATAAAATTGGATAATGTGTCTATACATACACAGGACCTAGAAGGACAAGTTAAACTGTAAACCGGTTGTGATTGTGGATGACTTTGTTCTTTGCTTCTTGTGTTTCTCAGCTTCCTATAGTAAACATATTAACTTTTTAAAAATAAAGGGTTTAGGTTTTGCTTTTGTTTTTGTTTTTTTGAGATAGCCTGTCACCCAGGCTAGAATGCAGTAGCATGATCATAGCTCATGCAGCCTCAAACTCCTGAGCTCAAGTGGTTTTCCTGCCTCAGCCTCCCAAACAGGTGGGACTACAGGCACACACCACCACACCTGGCTAATTAAAACTTTTTTGGCCAGGCGAGGTGGCTCACACCTGTAATCCCAACACTTTGGGAGGCTGAGGTGGATGGATCACCTGAGGTCAGGAATTCGAGACCAGCCTGTCCAACACAGTGAAACCCCATCTCTACTAAAAATACAAAAAAATTAGCTAGGTGTGGTGGCGGGTGGCTGTAATCCTAGCTACTTGGAAGGCTGAGACAGGAGAAATGCTTGAACCCAGGAGGTGGAGGTTGCAGTGAGCTGAGATTGCACCATTGCACTCCAGTCTGGGCAACAGAGGAGAGACTCCATCTCAAACAATAAAATAAAATAAAAAATAAAGGATATAAGTGTAAAAGGTAGTACTTGACTGGATTATAAAAAGCTATAGGTAGGGGGTGGTGGCTCATGCCTATAATCCCACACTCTGGGAGGCCAAGGCAGAAGAATCGCCTGAGCCCAAGAGTTTGAGACCAGCCTAGGCAATATAGGGAGACCTCATTTCTACAAAAATTTAAAAATTAGCCAGGGTCAGGTGCCATGGCTAGCACCTGTAATCTCAGCACTTTGGGAGGCCGAGTTGGGAGGATTGCTTGAGCCCAGGAGTTCCAGCCCAGCAACATAGTGAGACCGTATCTCTAAAATTTAATTTAAAAAAATTTTAATTAAAAAGAAATAATAGCTGGGCACAGTGGCACATGCCTGTAGTCTCAGCTACTTGGGAGACTGAGGTGGGAGAATCTGCTTCAGCCAAGGAGGTCAAGACTCCAGTGAGTTATGATTGTGCCACTGTACTCCAGCCTGGGTTACAGAGTAAAACCATGTATCAAACAAAAACAAAAACCAGCTATAAAAGATACTTGGAAGCCAGGTGCAGTGGCTTATGCTTGTAATCCCAGCACTTTGGGAGGCCAAGGCTGGTTGATCACTTGAGCCCAGGAGTTCAAGACCATCCTGGACAACATAGTGAGACCCTATCTCTACAGAAAAATTTTTAAAATTAGGCAGGCGTGGTAGTGCATGCCTATAGTCTCCGCTACTTGAGAGGTTAAGGTGGAAGAATCACTCAAGCCCAGGAGGCGAAGGCTGCAGTAAGTCATGTTCATGCCACCGCACTTCAGACTGGGTGATAAAGACCCTGTCTCTAAAAAAGTAAAAAATAAAACTAAAAGACACCTGGAACTATCTGGGGAAATCTGAATCTGGAGTGGATGTTAATGACATTGGGGGATGATAGTTATTTTATTTATTTATTTGTTTATTTTAAGACAGTCTTGCTGTGTTGCCTAGGCTGGAGTATAGTGGTACACAATCTTGACTCACTGCTACCTCCACTTCCTGGACTCAAGTAATCTTCACACCTCAGCCTCCTGATTAGCTGGGATTACAGGCGTGTACTATCATATTCAGCTAATTTTTTTTTTGTAAAGACAAGGTTTCACCAGCTGGGCACAGTGATTCATGCCTGTAATCCAGCACTTTGGGAGGCTGAGGCAGACGAATTACCTGAGGTCAGGAGTTCAAGACCAGCCTGGCTAACATAGTGAAACCCTGTTTCTAGTAAAAATACAAAAGATTAGCTGAGTGTGGTGAGGGGGTCTATAATCCCAGCTACTCGGGAGGCTGAGGCAGGTTCACTTGAACCCAGGAGGCAGAGGTTACAGTAAGCCGAGATCACACCATTGCACTCCAGCTTGGGCAACAAGAGCAAAATGCCATCTCAGAAAAAAAAAAAAAGGCTTCACCATGTTGCCCAGGTTAGTCTTGAAGTACTGGGTGCAAGCCATCCACCAGCATCAGCCTCCCAAAGTGTTGGGATTACAAGTATGGCAGGCCAGATTACAGTTATTTTTGTTACATATGACAAACTTATTGTGGCTATGTACAAGGGGAGATATATGCAAACATATTTAGGAGTGAAATGTCTTGACATTTGTAATATACTTTAAAATGGTTCAGCAAAGAAAAATTGTAAAGCAAAAGATGTTAATTATATGGGTGTCACTATTGTTCTTGAATAAAGCTGTGTTTCTGCATGCACTGTATATGTATGTACGCAGGAAAACTACATTTACGGTGACTATAACTGGTTAGCTCGAGGGACGACTAGAATTGGGCAAATGGGTATAAAAGGCAGATCAAACAAGATCTGCAAGAAAAGAGAAGCACAGCAGCATACACGGATAATATACCAACCTCAACATATTCAACTGCTCTTGGAGAAAAATCACAGGCGTAGGCAAAGATATTCGGATCTTCTTCTAAAAGTGGGAATAAACAGTTTCCAACTCCACAGCCAGCTTCAAGCATTGTTAACTTTTGATCTTCAAACTGGGGGAAAAATAGCCCAAAGTTATAGTACATTACATTTGCATAACGAAGAAATAAACCAAACTAAAAGGTCCAGAATATGAGAGGTCTCTGACCCCATGGAGCAGATGATAAACAAGTGAACTAATAAGCAAAAGCTAAGACTGCTACTTCATTTGTCATCCAACATTAACAGTTTGGTGTGGAGGATAAAAACAGCACAATGGCTAACTCGGCTCTGGAGTTAAACTCTCAGCACTCAAATCTCAACTCCTTGGGCAAATCTCGGTGCCACAATTTTACCTTGGGGACAAATGAGGACAATACTAATACACTTCACAGAGCCTGTAGAAGGCTCAGATGATAGGACATGTAAAGTTCTTAGAAAGGGCCATGGTAAATAGTTCACTAACATTATTATTATTATTATCATTATTTTGACTTTGTCACTGAAGTCACTCAGTATGGATTTATATTTTTGTTCTTTTTAAATTCTAATGTTTAAATTTTTTAAAATTTAGAACACAGGGTCTCACTATGCTGCCCAGGCTTGGCTAATTCACACAGGCACAAGTTGCCTGCCAGAGCCTCTGGAGTAGCTGGGCGACAGCCACCATATCTAGCTCTTGAATTTAATATTTAATGTTTACAACTATCAGATCAGCTTAAAGAAACAGAAAACACCCTCTAAAGTTCTCTCTCCTATGTGTTAACCAAACCAAAAAATGAGAAAACTTTGGTGTTAAGACCAAAAAGTATATTTTTCTCCCAAAATGCAAAGCTTTTGGATAGGTTTCTTAAATTTTCTACTTCACACTCTCCCTAAGATTGCAATAAAGCACACCTTTTCACATTTTAAATGAAAAACAGCTCAGATAAGGTGTAATATTAGCTTACCTCTCTACATGATCTTAGCTCCTTAAACTCTCTGGTGGTCCAGTGTCTATCTTTGAAGAAATTAGTGCTATTTCTTTTGTAAAAAAGATCCCAGTTTTTCTGAGCCTCTTGTTCCAATTTTTGCTGTTTAAAATCAGACACCAAAGTTTGGTCTCTTTTCAGTTTCTCCTCTTCTTCAGAGCTGAGAATCCTTGCCTGCAGCCCTTTCCTTTGCAAAGAAGCCATCTCAGAAACTGACGGTAACAGAAACTTAAGGCAGCTGAAGATTCTCCATCCCCAAACAATATAAATCCATGCTAATGAGTCAGATGCATTTCCTCAGGTGAGTTGCTTCGCAGAAAAAAGAATGAGATTCTGGTTAGTGGTTCTAGAACAGTGCAAGACGGCAGGTTCAATTCACAAATATTTATGAGATGCCGACTGTACAAAAAAAGATCCTGCCCGCTATAGGTGAGGTCACAAAGAAGATCAAGACACAGTCCATACTTCAGAGAAGATACATTCATTCAGTGGCCAGGACTATCTTATGCACCATACTTTTATTCAAACCAGATGAGACAACTGTTACAATAAATCGATTTAGTTTAGAAAAAGGCCCTCTCACGAACTGACTGAGAAACCTTGTGGAGAAAATACTCCTCAATTTTTGGTGCCCATGAAAGGGGTAACTTTAAAACCACAATGGCCTTAGCTGGAAGCGGGTGGTCAATTGCCAGATACAAGTGAGTTCCCCGTTTCCCAAGGGTCGGAGCTCCGTTTTTTCGGGGGAAATGAAGCGAAGCCTGGCGGGGGGGCTCCGTTCCTGATCGCACTCACAAGAGGCTGTCGTGCGGACCAGAGGGGGCGTCACTTTCCAGGGACTGAGGCTCTCGCACCGCTATCACCGCGCGAACAGGAGGAAGAGACCCAGTGACGCGTGGCTGAGGTCCCGCGGATCCACCTCAGGACACTCAGGATAAACTAGGCCACGTGGGGCCCTAGACCCTGAGGAGGGGCGCCCTTAATGACTAGCCGACCCGCGTATCTAGTCAGCCACGCTCAGGGGTTACTGTCATCAGTTCCTAAATTCAACTGTAGGGGTAGGGCCAGGAGCACTCACCCCACACCCAGCTTCAAGTTTCGGAGGCAGAATATGGGAGGCGTCGCGGCACAACTCTGAGCCAATCCTGAGGACCTCGCAGTGGGATTCTCCGGGAGGAGTTCTTTTGTCATGGCACCGCCCCCGCCACTTCCGCTGGGAACCCGGAAGTTCCTACCCAACGTCGGAAGTCCCGCGGCCTTACTGCCTCAGGTTCTTCCTCCACCCCGAGACAGAGAAGAAGGCTTGCTTGCGAACCCCTGTGGGCGCCGGCTCGGCTTTCCTTGCGCTTCAGAGCGGTGTCCTCCCAGGAGCAGCGTCCTTCCAGACGCCAACGCCGGAAGCTCGGGTCGCGGCTGTGCCAGGAGAGCGCCGATCCGGGTGCGAGGTCGGTGCGGAACCATGAACGGGACCGCGAACCCGCTGCTGGACCGCGAGGAACATTGCCTGCGGCTTGGGGAGAGCTTCGAGAAGCGGCCGCGGGCCTCCTTCCACACGATTCGTTGTAAGTCAGCGCTCCCCACAGTTCCCTTCGGCCGCTCCAGGCGCCACATATCAACCCCTACTCCTTCCTTTCTTCCCTCAGCCCTTCAGATTCCAGGGAACCCCCTGCCAGCGTCAGTTACCTTCTCTCGAACCCCAAATCCTTTCGTACTTCGATTTGTTCCTTCTTTTACCCAGATTATTTCTCCCAAATCTTCGTCACCCCCTTCTATTCTTCTACCTCATAGTCTCAAACACTAGTTCCAAAGGTCATTGGCCTCTTTCCATTTCCATCCCTCCCCGACCCCCACCTCGCCCCTAAGGCAAACCTTCCCCTCCTTCACCAGGCAAACCTTTCTTATCCAGGTCCACTTCTTCCCCCTCGACACCCCTCTTCCTCCTTTCCGATGCTCCCATCAGGGTTCCCCACATTTAAAAGACAGTTCTTGTTTGCTGTGAGCCTCATCCACTCCCTCCGAATCCATTCTCTTCCCTGTTTTCCTCCTCCGACCTGGTCCTGGACACCCAGATACTGTGCTTTGTCCGCTCTACGGCCAAAGAATTGGCAACCTCTCTGTCCTCATCAGAGTCTTTTTCCATCTCCTTTCTGTGCTTCCTTTGACTTGGATCTCTTTTGAGGTTACCTTTACCACCCTGGCTTTTCCTCCAGACCAAGTTCCTTGGTCAAATTAGAGTTCGTGAGCCTGGGGTAGGTTAAAGATTGGTCTATGTTTGGAAGCAGAAGAGAGCAGGCGCAAGGAATGCCGAAATAGTCATTACGCCGGACCTTTTTCTACAGATTATAGACTCTGTTGAGCGAGTGCACTTCCACCCTATGTCCTGGGTGAAGATTTGGCAGTTAGGAATTGGCTGACAGAGCATCCCTCCGTGATTCATGAACTTCTGGTTTCCGTGGCACTAACGCTGTTGTTAGGACTTGTTTTTGTCAGAGGACCTAATAGATGTGACTCAACACACGTGAAGAGGGCGTCTTAGATAATGAAATTCCATCTTTGTGTGGTCACTTGCCATGCCATTACTATGCTTCCTACTGACAGATCCAGCACTTTCAGAGAGAGGAGATTGGGAATGAGATAAGAACATCATTTCCTGAACAGTTTACTAAGTTGATGTTTTCTTCTGGTGAAGGGCAAGGTGGAATTTATCATATAGTTCATGTGTGCACCTGGCCTGCAGTTTGAGGCAGGTGTGAATGTGAATTAAGATGGCTATTCGTGTTGTACTCTTAACTGCAATTTAGAAACATGAGTAGGATAAATTTTGGAGATACAGTTGTCTGCTCCGAACATCTACAGAAGTGTCTTGGTTAAAGCTGTGGAACTGGCCAAGAGTGGTGGCTGACACTATAATCCCAGTACTTTGGGAGGCCGAGGCAGGCAGATAGCTTGAGCCCAGGAGTTTGAGACCAGGCTGGGCAGCATGGTGAGACCTCATCACTATTCTTTTTCATATGCTATTACTTTTGATCCTCACAACCCTAAAAAAGCAACTTATTATGGATGATGAGGCATTAATTTTCATCTCTCCCTTGGGAGAAGGGAATGTCTTTGTTTAATAAAATAACCTGTAAATTTCTTTTCCCCCCTAGAATAACTCAAAGAGGGTCAGAGGAAAAGTATGTGGAGGTGTAGATGAAACAAGATTGTCCCTGAGTTGGTAATAATTGAAACTGGATAATGGTACACCAGGGCTCATTGTACCATTCTCTCTACTTTTGTGTATCTGAGGTTTTCCATAATGAAACAGGTTCTTAAGGCGGAACGCAGTGGCTCATTCCTGTAATCCTAGCATTTTGGGAGGCCAACGTGGGCGGATTGCCTGAGTTCAGGAATTTGATACCAGTCTGGGCAACATAGTGAAACCCCGTCTCTACTAAAAAATACAAAAAATTAGCCGGGCGCGGCAGCATGCATCTGTAGTCCCAGCTATTCGGGAAGCTGAGGCAGAAGAATGTCTTGAACCCGGGAAGCAGAAGTTGCAATGAGCTGAGACCATGACATTGCACTCCAGCCTGGGTGACAGAGTGAGACTGTGAGACTTTGTCTCCAGAAAAAAAAAAAGAAAGAAATAGATGTTTAAGAATTCTAAATTAGTTTTATTTTCTATTCATCTGAGTAATAACAGTTTAAATTCTTAAATGGAGATGCCCAGGAAGCCTTATTATTAGTAACCTGGGGGATAAGTGCTTTGTTTCCTTTCCCTTTAGATGATTTTAAACCAGCATCTATAGACACTTCCTGTGAAGGAGAGCTTCAAGTTGGTAAAGGAGATGAAGTCACAATTACACTGCCACATATCCCTGTGAGTTTATTTCATTGTTTTTTTTAAATGTGGGATCACAGTGAATTCTTGTCATTTATATTGTTGCAATTTAAACTTCCTACTTTTAAAAATGTTTAGATTTCTAAAGTGGCAACATAAGCAAAAAAGGGATTTGGGGGAGTGGGGTGGGGTGGACTTCATGCTAGGCAGGTGCTTGATTAAAAATAATTCTTGTAATCCTAGCACTTTGTGAGGCGGAAGTGGATGGATAACTTGAGCTCAGGGGTTCAAGACCAGCCTGGGCAATATGGTGAAACCCTGTCTGTACAAAAAATACAAAAAATGAGCTGGGGGTGATGGTGCATGTCTGTGGTCCCAGGTACTTGGGAAGCTGAGGTGGGAGGATCGCTTGAGCCTGGGAGGTAGAGGTTGCAGTGAGCTAAGATCATGCCACTGCACTCCAGCCTGGACGATGGAATGAGACTCCCTCTCATTAAAAAAAAAAAAGATTCTTTGTCATTTTGCCCAAGCTTCCTTTTCTTCTGTCTGCTACTGAGTAGACAAGGTTCCTGTTTGGACACCTAGCCCCACTTTTGATATAGCTTTTCTCCCAAGCAACTCTAGAGAGAAAAGGTCTAGGCGCCCTGCTGATTATATGGCCACAACAGCTCAGGAGTGTGAGGCAACCAAGCCAGGAGTTAAGGCAGGCAGGAGCCAGAGGTTTGGCACATTCCACTGATGTAGGGATGGAGAACTAAGTTAAAAGCTGGATTAAGAACCCTTGCAGAGAAAGACTTTTGTGAATTAGCGCCCAAGGCAGCACTAATCACGAAGCACCAGAGGATCACATGATGCTCTTAGTGAACATGTGTTATTGCATGTCACACCCCATGCTGGAACGTAAGTTCTTGGTAGCTGGTGACAGAATGAAAAGTCTCTAGACAGGGAGATCTGGAACGCTTTGTACTGAGGAAAAATGGTCTGCCCATTCAAACTGCTGTTTGATTACTTTTTGGCTTTGGCAGGTTACATCATCTCCCTTTGGACCTTAGTTTCCCATATGTAAAATGAAAGGTTTAGATAAATGGTCCCTAAAGTCCTTTCTAGCGCTATAGTTTGCTATATAAATAAGCAAAGAGCCAAGTGGTTTTTGATTCTAAGCAAGGCATTAAATACTATATTTGACAAATATTAATGAATGCCTCCCACACATTGGCCCGTCACTAGGCATGAAGAATACAACCTTGAACAAAACAAGCACATTTCTTGCCCTTGTGGAGCTTATGGTCTGGAGTTTAAATAAATACTAGAAAATACAGCAGTTATTCTAAATCAGGGGCGGCTTCCTTAAGGAAGTAACCTGTGAGCAGATCTGGAGGTTGGATAATTTAAAGAGAGCTGGCAGGATATAGCCAGAGAAGCCTTGTTAAAGCCCAGAGGCAGGAGAGAGCTTGAGGATCTGAGAGAAGCCAATTGCCTTCTGCTTTGAAGCACATGCCCAGGGGCATCTGCTGCAGGGTAAGGTGGAGAGCCAGGGAAGGGCCCAGTAGTGCAGGGTTTCCTGGCTAGTTTAAAGATTTTATCCTTTGGCTTGAGAGCAACTGAGGAGTGATTGAAAGGCTTAGGCAGATGAGTGACCTGACTGATTTATTCTGAGCCAACCAGGATAATGACCTGCTCTTGGAAAATGCTCTGTTGGTTGCTTGCCTTGAGAAGGGGAAACCTTGAACTCTCTAATTTCGAAGAAATAAAGGGATCACTCACAGTTGTACCATATAGAGTGATAGCTCTGCTTAGTATAATGCAAGTAATAGTTCATTTGTTTTTCTCTCTCGGAACATATACAGTAATTTAAAATTTTTATACTACCTTTCTTGACTACTTAGAATGCATTGCACATTTACAGATTCTTGCTATATTATTTCTCCTTTATTTTTGCCTGGGAAACCAGAAGGAGTTAAAATAGAAATCAGTTCAGTCTATTCTTTTTAAATAGCTCGAATAAAACATTTCATCAGGTAGAGTCATCTGTAAATTCAGTTGGTATTCATAACTGCTATGTTTAGTTTGATCATCTTATACTTTTGTGGCAAATAGGGATCCACGCCACCCATGACTGTGTTCAAGGGGAACAAACGGCCTTACCAGAAAGACTGTGTGCTTATTATTAATCATGACACTGGTGAATATGTACTGGAAAAACTCAGTAGCAGCATTCAGGTGAAGAAAACAAGGTATGTGAATAGCTAGATGCAGGTTTATATCATGTTTCCAAACCTGTCTTATCTATTTAGTTTTTATAAGGTTGTGAACATCTGCTTCCTTATAGTGTTCTGTCAATAATCTTAACAGCTCTACCTGTGTCTTCTCAGACAAATCAGTAAAATATGTCTTACTCAAATATAATAAAAAGAAATAATGTTTTTAAGACCTAAAACATGGGAACCATTAGGGAAAGCGATGTACTTTATAATTAAGCCAATTCTGTTAATCTCATGATTGCTACAGTACCACCTAAGGAATAAGATAACTTATAGACTTATAATTATGAAAGAATAATATATACTATGCTTCATTGGAGTGAGGACATTAATTTTTTACAAGATATATTTGAGATCACTATAATACCAAAATAAAACTTTGCCTGTTTTTTAATATAGTGAACTCTTTAATTCAACAGTTATTACATGTCTAAAATGAAGCCAGTTAGAGTTAATTTGAAAATAAAAAATGCATTCTATAAATAGAAATAACTGAGTGGTTCTATTTTTTACCTTATAATACAGTATTATTAAGAGTCAAGGTCTCTTGCTCTGTCATCCAGGCTAAAGTGCAGTGGCATGATCATAGCTCACTTATAATACAGTAATTATTATAATACAGGAATTAAATTATAAAGATTGTCACAACCTGATTTTCTTTATGTTTCAGTAAGCCATTTTTTTGTCCCTTACTCATTGCACAGAAAATGAAAATAGGTAGCATTTATTGAGGGGCTGTCATGATGCCCCAGGCTCTGCTAGATGCTTTCCGTGCATTGTTTTTGCTAACAAGTAATTTTTAGAAAGCTGCTATTATTATTTTTTACCCCTTTTTATTAAAAATATGGAGTGCTTCATGAATTTGTGTGTTTTCCTTGCACAGGGTTCATGCCGATCTCTGTATTGTTCCAATTTTAGTATATGTGCTGGCGAAGAGAGTATGAAAGATGTATGATTATCTTTAAAAACAAAAAGAACATATGGAGACCGAGGGTTAGAGAGCTAGACCCACCCTAGAAAGTGTGCTGCAGAGTCCTTGCTCCTGCCTTGCCACTCTGTTTATTTGTGTTCATTACCTACAGTGAACCAGGTGCTACTGTTACTCCTCCAATATCTGATGGTTGTGGTCTATCCCCTTACTACTCAGTGTGATATGGGAACGAACAGCATCATATCATCTGGGTTCTGTTGGACAGGCAGAATCTCAGCATCTATTAGATCTGAATCCGCAGAGATCACCATGTGATTTGTGCATATGCAAAAGTTTTACAAGCACTGAGCTAGTCCATTTACAAGAGAAATTGTTAACTGATAGAATATTCTCAGCTTGGGGTGGAGCTCTGCTTGTCTGTGAGCAAGAGCTGGCATGTGATGAAATGAATAAGCAGTATATAGATAATGGAAAAATTTGCAAGCTGGGCAGTATTTTAAGAGCTAGTTCATTTAGGAACTCATGCATTCATGATTATAACTACATAATGATGTTTCAGTCAATAAGTGAACTACATATATGACATTGGATCCTAATGGAGCATGTATGGAAACCTGATATATGGCACCTGATATGGCATTGCAGATCAAGTAGGGGAAGTGATTGATAGTCAGTAATGATGGAACATTTGGCTTTTCATGTGAAAAAATTATATAACATGCTATCTATGTTTGTGTAAGTACACTCTGATGTTTGCATTATGAAATCACCTCATGATGCATTTCTCATTGTTAAGGGACGCATGGCTGTATTTTCTACTAGTAAATGGATTCTCATAGTTGCATTGTATCCTACATTGTTTGCTATAACGTTTGAGCTCATTGAGGGCTATGAATATTCTATTCATCTCTGTATCCCTGATGCATAATATAGTACTGGAATACAGTAGACACTCAAATGTCAAATGAATAGCTCACATGATAAAATTACAAATATCAGCATTTTGAAGTGGTCTGGAAAGAACATGGGGTTCTACAGAGACTTCTGAGTTTTCAGTCACCTGGAGAAATTTGAGAACCACTATTTTTGCCCCTTCTGATTTAATGTCTATATTTCCTTTCAGAGCTGAGGGGAGCAGTAAAATCCAGGCCCGAATGGAACAGCAGCCCACTCGTCCTCCACAGACATCACAGCCGCCACCACCTCCACCACCTATGCCATTCAGAGCTCCAACAAAGCCTCCAGTTGGACCCAAAACTTCTCCCTTGAAAGATAACCCCTCACCTGAACCTCAGTTGGATGATATCAAAAGAGGTAGAGAAATTTTCTGGATCCATGATAGCAACATGGAGATCACTTGACTGCTGTATTGATATGGTGGCTGGGGCATTCAATGCCATCAAAAAAATTTCTGCAGAGCTCACTGTTCAGAGATGGGGAGAGTGGGGCCCTCTGCCACTTATCTCATTTGACAAGGGTGAGTCCTGGAATAGTGACTTGAGTTTGTGGCTATCTTGGTAGCATTCTGCTTAGGGGCCCAGGATTTAAACAAGCGTGACTCCCATCCAAAGCTCCATATGGCATACCTCTTAAGGCTCTGGAGAAAGGATTCTAGGTGTTGGAGGTGAAGATTAAGTGTAGGTGGCAATATTTCTGAGCTCTACGTTAGTATAGCTTCTGGAGGGGCTGACCATGGTGCTGCACACTAGTAGTTTCAGCTACTTTCAAGGCTGAGGCAGGAGGATCACGTGAAGTTGGGAGTTCAAGGCCACAGTGTGTTTTGATCATGTCTGTTGGTAGCTACTGAACTCCAGCCTGGCAGTAACATCTCTTTTTGGCAGCGGGGGGAGATTAAAGTGCCATTTAAAATACTGTAAGCAAATGTTCTGTGCTAACACAAAGTGTGTGAATATGAGAGGCCATGAAGACCAATGGAAACAGATATTGGCCTAGAAAGACTTAGAGGTGTGGTTTGGTTGTCTCCACTGCAAACCTGAGACAAAAAGGCTTACCTTGACTTTTTCCTTCACGTGATGAATGGTTTTAGTCCTCCAGACTCTTTAGAAGTTGTGAGGCCAAGTGTCATGTTTCATATTTGTACGTTTTAGAAAACAAATCCATACTGATAGTAGGGAAAGATAAAGAGTCGTCCTTGGGAAGTTTGCCTTTTCCACCCTGTAGAAGGGCTGCAGACACTCTGCACTGTACATAGTTGTTTTGCCTCTTGTTTTTTTTTTTCCCCCTCATGGCTACTGGAATGCTGTTATGGAAGTTTTCACTTTGGCTGAATAGGAATCGAGCATGAGTGGTTAATTATTGCCAATCATGCTTAAAGGAGCCATAGCCATTTAAGGCTACATGGTATGTTTGGACAGGAAAATCTAGCATCTTTCTTGAAATGGTTAGGTAAGGCATGTTTTTTCTTCCCTATTTTATGTCTGTAAAAAACGTAGTACCTGACAGGCATGATACTTAAAGAGTGAAGAGGAAAAATGTTGTTTCACCATTTTTCTTCAGTCACCATGGCTCTTCCTGCAAGCCTCCATTTATTTGTGGGACATGAGAGCTGGAAAGGACCTTAAAGGCTGTCTGGCTTTCATTTTTCCAGAGTGGCTTAGAAAATTATTGACTTCTACTTGGGTGTCACTGCTGGTTACAGGTAAATCTAGAACAAACACTCAGACCTTCCAAGTCCTAGTCAAATTTATTTTTCAACCACTTTGCATAATAGTTGTTTTCTCTTATGTGAGAATGATGGTTTTATCCCATAGTTAATAATATTCATAATTTTTTTTGTTAGTAGATAAAGGCAAATTGACTTAATTGATTTTTTACACAGAACAGTCATTATTCTGAAACAGTCTTGCTTTTTGTTTATTTTGAGTGAATTTAATGTTCCCATTGATTCTGTTTGGTTTTGGTAATTTTCTGTTTTTTAAGGAATTGAAAAGAAAGACTTTGTTTTAAATGATTTCTTATTGCTGTTGGTTTTGCTGATTTACTATTTATAGGAGCTCCAATGTGTTGCTTTGAAAAGGGCTGCTGTGCTGACCCATGTCATATCATTTATTGCAGAGCTGAGGGCTGAAGTTGACATTATTGAACAGATGAGCAGCAGCAGCGGGAGCAGCTCTTCAGACTCTGAGAGCTCTTCAGGAAGTGATGACGACAGCTCCAGCAGTGGAGGCGAGGACAATGGCCCAGCGTCTCCTCCGCAGCCTTCACACCAGCAGCCCTACAGCAGTAGGCCCGCGGTTGCCAACGGAACCAGCCGGCCACAAGGAAGCAACCAGCTCATGAACACCCTTAGTAAGTGTGTGCTCCCCTTTATGACTGAGAGAGGGCAATAGGTGTAGCTTCTGTTTATCTTATTGCTAGAACCTATAAACCTAAAGACATTTAAGGCATTATTACAGATAATGTGCAGCAGAAAGGTGTGAGTTACTAAATAGTAAAAAAGGGAAATGAGATGAAAAATCTGTTCTTTCTATTCCCCACTGGCTCATACTGGTGTTTGTGAACTCTGGAAAATGCTAAAGCATGAGCAGGTAGGCTGTTTTTGCTTTTATACTGGGCTTTCGGGGAGCTACCTGCCATCACACTGCTCTCGGCCTCTTGGTCTTCTTTTTCTTTTGGAGATGAAGTCTTGCTCTGTTGCCCAGGCTGGAGTGCAGTGGCATGATCTTTTTATTTTTTTGCAGAGATAGGGTTTCCCCATGTTGCCCAGGATGGTCTGGAACTCCTAGACTCAAGCAGTCCACCTACCTTGGCTTCCCAAAGTGCCGAGATTACATGCAGGAGCCACCATGCATGGCCATTTTTTAAATTTTCAGTAAAGACAAGGTCTCTCTGTTTTGCCCAGGCTGGTCTTGAACTCCTGAGTACAAGTAATCTCCCCACCTCCCAAAGTGCTGGGATTACCATGCCCAGCCTGGGTGGCTTTTAATGGAGTTGATGCTAAAGTAAAACAGGAAAACAAAAACAAATTTACTTGTTTTGAAGGTGAGCAGAGGTCTAATTTTCTATGCTTTTCTCTCTTTGGAACCTTGGTGAATGTTCTCTTTTGGTATACCTTCCTTTGAGGAAGTTGGAAGGTCTAGAGGCAACAGTGGGGAAGTTAACCTAGTTAACACAACTGTTGTTGACCAGGCGGAGATAATCTGAGCCTCAGCACTATGGACATTTTGGGCCAGATAAGTCTTTGTTGTGGGAGGTGGTCCTGCACACTGTTGGATGTTTAAGAGCATCCCTGACCTCTATCCACTAGATGGCCAGTACCAATCTCCTCCCACCTCCCCAGCCCCATAACAGTCAAAAATGTCTCAAGACATTGCCATATGTGCCCCATCTTTAACATAGACCGAAGTATATGAAGAAAATCTGGCATTGTAGGTAGTTAGAAAAGGGGTGACTTCAGGATCAGCCCCCTGAAAGGGTTTTGTGGACCCGAGTCCTCAGAATAGACTTTGAAGAGAACTGGCTTAAAGATTAGCAATTCGGAAATACAGAAATTCACTTTTGTTACAAGTAGTATCAACTGGAGTTCTGTTAGATGTATTCCTATTGTATTAGATTGAAATGTTGAGAATTAAGTTCTTCTAAATTCTGCACAGTAAGCAAGAATCTGGGGCTTTGTAAAGCTTGTTAGTTCAGATTTGAAGTTTAAGGTAATGTGAATATCCTGGAGAGAGGTATGCCAGAACAGATGCTGCATTAGCATATTAATGGTGTTAACAGTAATCACTTTTCTTAATGGGAAACCTAACAATATTTTCTTAAGTTGCTTTTATAAAGCAACTTAATGTGATTAGTTCCAACAAATGGTGAATCAGTTATTTTAAATATATATATTTTTTTCTTCCCTTTGAGATGGAGTCTTGCTCTGTTGCCCAGGCTGGAGTGCAGTTGTGCAATCTTGACTCACTGTAACCTCCACCTCCCAGTTTCAAATGATTCTCCAACCTCAGCCTCCAGAGTAGCTGGGATTATAGGCATGCATCTCCACGCCTGA